GCTCGCGATGATTCCCATGTTAAACGGCTTTTTAAACTCCTGAAAAGATCTTGACAAGATTCCATTACGCTGTACTGTTTGTACGCTGGCTTCGCGTTAGAAATAGGCATGTACTATATCTACTTCTGTGTGGAGCCAACACTAGCATCGGGGGTAGGAAGGGATTAGGTACGAAAAAGCAACGTTTGTATACTCATTAAGGAACAGGATATCTTTGTCTTATATGACAATAAGAACAATATTGGGGATCATGTTTTCTAGAATTTCCTCTACGGGAAGGACATCAAAATAATATTCAAGTAGTCGTACACTCGCGTTATTACACAGTTTAGAAGACAGAACGAGGTCGAGTTTAAAGAACTTAAAATTAAAGGATAAAGAAATGATGAAGGCTGATGTATATTTTTCACATTTATTTACTGGAGATCTTTTGACAACTTTTAGACACATACATCATTGGCTATGATATCTGAAATGCACATGGAATGGAATATACATAACATTAGATGCTTTATATATCGACACACATCGTAACGCATGAGATCAGTGTGCTTAGTGCGAATAGAACAGCGCCCCTAGCGGCAAACGTAGGCAAGCGTTCCAATTCAATACAAATTTAGAGTTAACTTCTACGCTATCGAGAACGTTAAAAAATTCGCACTAAGCACAGAGCAGTTGTGAAAACCGACAAGTGCACAGCATTAGCATCATCGCGAGTAGCAGGAATCATTAGTCGCATCCGATAACCGTGTACTTTATTACTCTCATCAAAGCATCATCATCGCGTTCATTTGCATCGATATATAATTACTTTATATTATATTATATTAACTAATACAATTCACCACGAAAAGGAATGTTTTAGATTACACATTTATGTTCTATATAGATTTTAAGTTGCAATTACCTCAGTATTCTTATTACGTGCATAGCTATCTATTAAAATGACACAATGATTACATTATAAGAAAAACAAATACCATTTTATTTATGACATCAATATCGGTGGACATTCTGAAGATTTACAACCACATAGAGATGTAATCATTTATCGCTTGTAATATGTAAAATAGAACAGGCTTGCTTAAAACAACAATAATATTATCAAAAAATACATCGTCTTAAAAGTAGTACCAATAAAATATGTAAACTGTCCAAAATATATAAAAATATTATTGTGATGAAATCGATAGAAAAGTAAAAATAATCGATATTTATAAAACACAAAAAAGGGTTGTAAAGCTATTTACAACTTTATAGGTAAAATAATCAGTTTCTGATAGTCCAAAATCACAGGCCTTGTTACAAAACAATGGTCAAATAACTTAATTATCTAAATGTGAGGTTGAGTCAATATTCAGTAAGAACAAACAGAACTAGAAAATCAAATTTAAAGGTCAGAAAAGATGCATAATCGAAATTAATAAATAACGAAACCATGTATCGCTATTTTACCTATAGATTGATTCTAACAATAGTTGTCTGAATTTCAGGTTTTAAATATTCTCAATATTTCCAATAATAACATTTAGCCCGAGAGCCCGTGGGATCTACCTGTATGTATTTGACCAGACCTGAATTTTCGTACATTGAGACCCCTATACCTACCATGCATGAGGTGGGGACTCACTAAGCTCAAAGTGGTCGACGCGCCGAGCGCTCAGGTAGGACAGGTACCGATTTTGACGGATTTTAAATCCATTTGACCACGTCTGCCGTTTTGAAATTTTGAAAATATATGATTATTATTATCGGAAAATAAGAATGGCAGACCATTATCGCGCATTTTACTTTGTGGCAGACCACTTTGAAAATGCTAAATTGCATTGAAAATGCAAAATTTTGAAAGTAATTGACTAGATCTGCCATTGATTTAATAATATGTTGTTTATTATAGTCTTAAAAACTTATATTGATCACGGCAGACCTCTACATTGCGTACATACATCAACATATAATAAAATCTTAGCTACTACCCGGCCAGATGTATATTATGTTTTCCGTTCACTGTTTTAGAGGAATATAATTTACTTGCGATTTACTTTAGCAATGTATTTACCGAAATTAATATTTTTTTATATTATATATACTAAACTTCATTAGTTAGACAATTAAGAAGTGAATTTTTTATGGAATAATTATAAATAATACGGTACAATGCTGATCAAAAAAGAATTCAATTCCTCATTTTTATTTCGTCAAGACAAAATTTAAAAGTGTTAAATCAGTTAAAAAAATATATCATGCATGCATTACATATTATATATATATATCAATCTTCATTCATCATCATCATCATCGGAGTCATCTTTATCGTTAGGCGACTCGTCTTCATCAACCATTGAATCGAATACTGCAAAAATAAAACATAAATTGTAAAATGAACGTAAATTCATCTGAACATGTTCGAGAAAGAATTGTTATCAACTTACCAGGAACATTGGTGATTAAGTCACTCACAAAATATGGAAGTTGGTCACCTTCGAACCCTTTGAAGGCATATATGTTGTCCTGCTCAATCCAACCATACTCCAATGGGTCTAAAGTTGTCAGTTGCTTTTTGTAAGCATTTCTCCAAATAGAAGAAATATAGTGGGCCCTCAAAAGTTGTTGATAAAGCTCACTCTTATGCGGTGGTATTGAGCTTGCCTCAAATTTTTGATTTTTTTTTCTATAATTTTCATTGATGTCTGAATATTTATAGTTGCTAACGAATAGCTGGAACCTTCCATCATCTACATCACTAGATTTTTTGGCATTGTATAGCTGGCAAGTTAAATGTTGAATGATAAAAATGAGGAATTGAATTATTTTTTGATCAGCATTATACCGTATTATTTATAATTATTCCATAAAAAATTCACTTCTTTATTGTCTAACTAATGAAGTTTAGTATATAGAATATAAAAAAATATTAATTTCGGTAAATACATTGCTAAAGTAAATCGCAAGTAAATTATATTCCTCTAAAACAGTGAACGGAAAACATAATATACATCTGGCCGGGTAGTAGCTAAGATTTTATTATATGTTGATGTATGTACGCAATGTAGAGGTCTGCCGTGATCAATATAAGTTTTTAAGACTATAATAAACAACATATTATTAAATCAATGGCAGATCTAGTCAATTACTTTCAAAATTTTGCATTTTCAATGCAATTTAGCATTTTCAAAGTGGTCTGCCACAAAGTAAAATGCGCGATAATGGTCTGCCATTCTTATTTTCCGATAATAATAATCATATATTTTCAAAATTTCAAAACGGCAGACGTGGTCAAATGGATTTAAAATCCGTCAAAATCGGTACCTGTCCTACCTGAGCGCTCGGCGCGTCGACCACTTTGAGCTTAGTGAGTCCCCACCTCATGCATGGTAGGTATAGGGGTCTCAATGTACGAAAATTCAGGTCTGGTCAAATACATACAGGTAGATCCCACGGGCTCTCGGGCTAATTATGATGCGCCCCCGTCAAAACGTAAAGCGGTAATAATAATAATAATATATACTAGGCTTTGTGCCGTACAACTTAGTAAATTTGATTTACGACTAACATTTACATTTAACAACAAGATTTCTTTACTAACTACGTCAATAATTAATTTTCAGCAGTGTTGGCATGATGGCTGACTTACTGAGGGCAGTTCCTTGATAAGTAGTGATAATAACGGGAGAATATGTTATAACGAGGCCACTATCTTTCTAATTATCATCCGATATCGTCCCTACAATATTATTTTGCACAACATAATCAGATTTCACGTTTAAAATGTTATCTCTCTGCAAATCAGCCCCTACTGTCTATAGTTTATGCTGTCATTTTATCTAAGCTCACATCAATAACTCTGAAAACCCTTACGTCAAAATATATATAATATATAGCTACATATATGTTTGTTTGACACATTTATTAGTCTATAATATTTTAATAATGAGTTAAATTGGTTAAAGCACCGAGATATTCGGACGCGTCCAAGAATAAAACACAGTACGAGAACACATTGTTATACCAGCAGTATGTAGTAGCATTATACCACTCGTACATACTCGTACACTTGAGTTCATACTACGGGATCACATCAAGTATGACCATACGTTACATATTTTTAATAAATATGTTTTGACACATTAATATGTAAGAACTTATATATATGTATATTTTATTTATTTATATTTGATAGTAAATATGTTTTACACCGAGAATATAGGAGAAAGCGCCTGCTTGTGAAGTTTTAATGAAAGTCATAGGCAGATAATGTTGAAGAACTTATTACGGTTTATGCTAACTTGGGTTATGTGTTTAATCTCAGAAAGTTCTCCAAATATTTTAGATGGTTAATTTAATAAACCACCGTCTTCTCAATGTAAAACATTAAGCGATATCTTTCTAACATCAATATTTGTATTTATTTATATCAATATATATTTGGAAGGGATTTTTGAATGCGAAGGCCTCGAAAAAATTTATAACTTTTCCAAACAATCACTTGAAACACTAATTCTAACTACGTACACAACATTCATGATGCGCAACGGCGCTAAAATACAATTATATGTTTTGAAACAAGTTCATCGTGACCGTTCGTTTGTTACATCTGACACTAACGTCCTTGACTCATTTAGACACAATGTCTCAATAATAATCTCATTCACAACCATGAAATCCTCTTTTTGTTAACGTGAGAAGCTTTACCCTGATTTGTAACAAACGATCGAACGTTCGATAAACAGACAGAATGAAGTCGTACGTGGCGTCTTTTATGACATTTCGCCTTTTCGCATTAAAAGTGTACATTTTCCAAAAATATTGGTTAATATGCGAAAACCTATAGTATCACCAGTATTTTTCTCACAAATAGCGTAGTTTAGTTTTAGTTTTTTTTTTACTTTGCCTATATTTTGACTACTATTAACAAAATTAATACATAATTTTATCTTACTTTAAGAGATAGTTAAATTTAACTGGTAAAAAATAAAAAAATAAATGTTGCAAATATGATTAATATTATAAATATAACATTTTAAACCTTTAAAACACTCTCCTGTAATATTAGTAAGTTTTGAGATAATACAGTTTTAATGCGAGAAGACGATTTATTTGCTTGGTTGGTTGGTTGGTCAATGCCAACTCTAGTTGTTCGAATCGTGGTTGCGCCGCTCGATGTTGTCCTGATTATGATGGATGGTTCTCAGTGTTTCTGCGGCGGCGTCCGATCGAATCAACTTTGTGCTCTTTAGATGAGCACTTCGTGGTGCAATAGCTATTTACGCGGCTTGGGGGCCGGCTTGCTCTGTCGGTTCTCGGCCGGCTTCGGAATCTGAAATTTTTAGAAACATAAATTTATAATTAAGCCCATTATGATAGTTTCGCGGCTCGATGGTGAAATGCGCATCTCTTATGTATCGTTTTTTTTTGGATTTCTTAAATTATAATATACTAGCGACCCGCCCTCGCTTCGCTTCGGAAACATTAAAACACACATGAAACAAAAAAAAAAAAAAATTAAAAAAAAGTAGCCTATGTTCATCAGGGACAATGTCGGCTTCTAATGGAAAAATAATTTTTCAAATCGGTCCAGTAGTTTCGGAGCCTATTCGAAACAAACAAACAAACAAATCTTTCCTCTTTATAATATTAGTATAGATGAGAGAAAGGCTGCTTCCATGGCGTTTTTAAAATTCTCTTCATCATTATCGTTGCCTTCCATAGTGACAGTAATTAAAAATCAGTTTTCCAATGAATTCCATATACATATTACATTACAAGTGTATAACGATGACAACGGAGAGCTCTGCTCCATTCGACTGCTCGAGCCGGAGTGTTTTGTGCGTTTTTATTTCCCTACCTATTCTAGTAACCTAGTAACGAGGGATTATTCTAGATTTGTCGAGCTAGTAGGTGAGCTCACGGAGCTCAAACCTAACGACGTTGCTAACACGAACCGTAGCAAGAGCCGTGCTTCGCAGAATCTACCACCGGATCGGAAACGCGACCCACTGAGAAGATCCGGCGAGAAACTCATTGAGCTGTGTCTGTGGGCTAATTTACTCATCGAGCGACGGGTTCGACAAAACGATGACCGGTGCTTGAGGTACCTAAAAGCACCGTTAGTGGATCGGGAGGATCCGTAATGACGTGTGCTTTGTGCGACAATAGTCACTCGTATTTATAGTAAAAAGTGGGGGTAGCTCAGATCAAGGAATCAATTAATTTCAACCATTTTTGATTAACCAAATAGTAACGTTGTGCCGACATATACTATCCCTTCTAGTGGAATACGATGTGTTAACGATTGTAACTTGATCTATATCTGTCTATCTGTGTACAACTTAATTAGAGCAAAATTCTTTTTTTAATTTAATTTATTTTTCTTTAATTAAATAGACCGTAATCAGATAGGAATTTCATAAAATTAGATTTGAACTATTATTTTTACGCATTTATTATGTACTATTTTTCAAGAATTCCTCAGGATACTACAGGGCATTGTACATGAAGTCATTATATTAGATATAATCACGTTATAACATTTCGGGTGTGAAGTGTATACAAATAGACTCTTAACACAAAACACTATTTGTCGCATTAAACGTGCTGTTATCAGTATTTTTTTGGTTTAGTTTCAAGTGTAACTCTTATCATGTTTATTACACACTATCCCGATGTTAAAAGATATTGTTAAAACGTAATAATGTTGCCAAAATGACGCCGTAGTGATGTTTATGAAGTGTTAAGTACATTTACAATATATATATATATATATTATTTTTCGGCTTTTATTACAAACTTGATTATTTAAGTAACTATAGAATTTTGAAAAAAACCCTAATCTGTTGTAAATTTACATACTGATTTTTTATACTTTACTCCGTTTAAATCCAATATGCCTAAGTGGACTGAAATGATAACAGTCATTAGACTATACAACTTTTTTTTAACAAATAGCCAATGTGTAGCAAATATTAAACGATCATACTTTCTTAATTTCTTTTGTTAATATTAGGGTAATAAATGATTTATCAACATTAAAAAAAACCTTAATATTTTTACTTTGTTGAATAAGATTGTTGATATTGCACAAAGATGTACTGCCTATTATAGCCTCTTTCAAACATAAAATCGGACCGTCCATTGCATTGAAACATCGGCTATCGGTTCATGTGATTCTTGCAGTAGAAACACGTCAGATTGGCTATCGAGTTCACTAAAATTAAATTATATATTACGGCAGCTCGTTGGTCCTCCATACGTCCAGACTGGGCCCTCATGATCAGAGCGAAGAAATCGTCATCGGGCACGGTCTTGGGACGAGGGTCGGCCTTGGGACGAGGCATCTCGGTCCGTTGATCGTCGAGCCGGGTGCCCTGAGAATTAAATAAACATCGTCGCACATTTCAGAATTGTATCTTTATTTTATTTGTTTGTTGCTTAGATGGGTGGACGAGCTCACAGCCCCCTGGTGTTAAGTGGTTACTGAAGCCCATAGACATTTACAACGTAATTGCGCCACCCATCTTGAGATATAGGTTGTAAGGTCTCAGTATTGTTGCAACGGCTGCCCCACCCTTCAAACCGAAACACATTGCTGCTTCACGACAGAAATAGGCAGGGTGGTGGACTCACAAGACGTCCTACCACCAGTAAAAATCTCCTTTAAACATACTGCATATATTTTCATATTAACCATAGAATATCCATGAAGGCAAGTGGGGCATTTGTATTAAAATGGCAGCAACGTCGCCCATCGAACTAAACATATTACTAATGACGGCCAACCAGACAAGCTGATGTAGCTGAAATCATATTTATGGTGTTATTAAATTATTAAGCTTTGGGATACATGGGCAGAGAAGTTCAGAGGACCACCGAAACCCATAGACCCTTTGTGAATGTCATGAATGCGGGGTGCGAACTCCAATTGTTATAAAAGCGATTCCAAGACTATACTAATATTCAGTTTCTCTTATCGTTTCTCATAGATTCACAAATGCCTTCTATCCATATCCATTTGAATATTATTTACTTGTCGTGGTGAATTTGTTTGTTCCGCTTCCATATTTTAATTACACAACCACTCATCATGAACTTTTGCCTACATGTTGTCCGGAGTACAGTAAAGGACACAGGATACTTTTCATCTAAAAAAAGTATTTCCTATTCCTGAGCAATATACGGAGTAGGAGCACGGCAGCACGTGGCTACATTCGTATGTTCATCATGAAGTAGTCTTATATCGTTAACGCTTTTATAATTACCGTAGAAACATCCTACATGCATTTAAAGTCACTATTATAATAGAATAACAACTATATTACAGTTTAAACGCATTTAATTGCAGAGCGCGCGATTTTTATAGCAGAGACGGTTGTAATTACCTGTGCAGGCCTACAACACGATCTACCAAAGATAGACTTGAAGTTAATTAATTTGAAGTCGTCGTGGCCTAAAGGATAAGACGTCCGGTGTATTCGTGTTGAAGTGATGCTCCGGTGTTCGAATCCCGCAGGCGGGTACCAATTTTTCTAATGAAATACGTACTCAACTAATGAAATACGTACTCAACTAATGAAATACGTACTCAACAAATGTTCACGATTGACTTCCACGGTGAAGGAATAACATCGTGTAATAAAAATCAAACCCGCATAATTATAATATGCGTAACTACTGGTGGTAGGACCTCTTGCGATTCCGCGCGAGTAGGTATCACCACCTTGTCTATTTCTGCCGTGAAGCAGTAATGCGTTTCGGTTTGAAGGGTGTGGCAGCCGCTGTAACTATCCTTGAGACCTTAGAACTTATATCTCAATGTGGGTGACGCATTTACGTTATAGATGTCTATGAGCTCCAGTAACCACTTAACACCAAGTGATCTGTGAGCTCGTCCACTCATATAAGCAATAAAAAAAAAATCGTATTATTCTAAAAAAAAATACCTGTACACGAGCAATCATGTCGAGGAAATCGTCCTCCGGCTTGGCGCCGGCGACGCGGGCGGTGCGGAGGCCGGGTAGCGAGGTCCCCTTCATTTCCTTGGACAGCTTCTTTTTGATCGGGCGCAGCTCGGCGCGCTGGGAGTCCATGCGCTCGGACTGGAGATCGGTGATCATGTCCAAGAGCGCCTCGTTCGAACTGAAATATCAGTTGGACGACGTTGGCGTACGAGCAAATGCATAAAAAATCACCACCAAGCTATTGACAATGTCATCATTTTTATAAAATGTTACCAAACGCGAGCAGTAGTAAACATATTTAAAGTTACGTTTAATCTAAATATAACTTTATATAAAAAATAAATTCCTTCCCGACATCTTTTTTCATATTAAGCGTAGGAACGCTATCCCTCCATCACTCTTTAGATTAGGTTACCCTATACCGTGGGCAGCGAAGGTCAAGTACCTAGAAGCCACCCTCGATAGAGGGATGTTATTGTTTCCGCACATAAAATTCGTTCCGATCGTAGATTCAGCGGAGCACTGCTATTGCTAGGGCAGATGTTAGCATGTTTTTTCAGGTTGAGCCCCACAAGTTGTGATAGCCCATCAGTCAGTGTGGAGCCAGGGCTAGCCCCTAAGGGTATTTTCATATAGGTAGCCAAAAATGACAAAAAAGGGAAATTAAAAACATAGCGCTAGTTGTGATTAAAAACATATTTACGGTTTAATCTCAAATTTATTTAATTCAACTTACGGACCATTAAAGTTTTACTTGTCCAATAGGTATAAAGTATTTGAAACATTAGAAAATTTATGCTGTACAGTGGCCTAAAGAGCATGTCTTCGATTCGCGGATTCTAGAAAATACAGCAGGGTTAAGGCGCGTATTGACAGTTTTCTTAACTCTCTAATAAGAACTAAGTACCGCCGATAGCATAACAAAATCTATACAGAAAAAAATAGAACAAAAGTCATAGGCGTTGTAATTTAATAAAGAACGTATGTACTAAGTTGACTAATATCGGCAATGCGGTTCACGTGCGCCACACTGATTCTTCCAACACTCGATAACCGGGAAAGGGATAGATTTTATGTGTTTTTGTTTTAATAAGCGCAACAATAAAAATCCATTAGTCCTGCACACAATTTCACCGCATCTAACAAATATAAATAGCATATACCTTCACAAGCGTGTTATCATTGTAATACAACAATATCGACCTTCATTTCTAAGGGCCTTTTACACAAAATAACATGAATATACTCGGAACAAAGACTTGTAAAATAATATAACCTCTTATTTTACTCACAATCTAATATTTTATAAGTCTATATATCCTAGGGAAAGTTTGTTATCCACAGAAACTGCATTAGCTTGCGGCAAATATCTGGAAATGTTCCCACTCATTTTGCGTCACGACTATTAAATATAATAAAACAAGTATCTCGAAACGAAGACAAGCTGCGTATAAAAGACGCCGTGAATGGAAAATTAGCGTATGCTAAATATAATCTTTGAACGTTTAGTATTATACAAGACAACGTCACAAGCAATACGGCTGCGACACGCTTACAAATATGCTATATTGACTCGAAGTGTATTTTGAATTTAAATCTGATGAACACTGGAGAATAGCGGTGCCGTCAATTAAAGAAATCATGACTGGAAAGTCAGGGCTTGTGCAGACGGGAGAATGTTTAAAGGAAAAAATAACAACAAGACAGTGTCTAATAAAACAGGTCTAACGTCTGCACGGTCAGGAGTGCGGATTGTACATTCAGTCAAAATAAAACATTACGATTCTATTCAATTAGTGCATTTGTAGATGATCCGAATATGGTGCCACAACTGTTTCACAAATAACGTATGAACAATCTTGTATATTTCACATACAAAGTGTGTAATAGTCACAAACTCATCTAGACATTTGTAAATAAACGTCGCTGCGTACATTTTCATTTTGCAATTGTGTCCAATACATTTTTTTACTAACTGTCATCGCAATTAAAGTCGCTCAGTAGTGCCTAGTTCATAAAATATTATATCTACTTGTTAATCAAAGTTCGATACTGATGAAGGGGATTCAAAGGCGTTGTTGGCGTCATAGATCCGTAATGCGTGCTCTAAAGTCGTCGTCGTCCCCCGTCGAGAGTGTGCAAAGAACGAATACCAGATTTCTTTTCAAATATTTATAAGTGAATAATAATTTTGACGATTTTATTTTGCTTGGTAGACATTAAAATTAGGTGTAAAGTTTCTGTTGCTAAACTAGGAGATTAATGGCGTATTTTTTTTTTGTTTACTGAATTTAACACCGGAAATGTGCGGAAAGTAGTTCATTCTAATTCCGAATATTACGTGGCGAAAATTGTATATAAAGGAATAGAAAGAAATGATGCCTGGGAACATCCCGCCAAACAACACAGCTGTTCCAAGTGGTAAGGTGGGACACAGTAGCGAGTGGCGTGATGGCTATGTTGACGACTTTATCCCAAACAACTCTCCAGAACACTTGTGAGAGCGATTATACAAGCTTTTTGTTATTACAAAAATATATTGTAGATATGATATCTACGACACAGTGACAACTATGTTTAAGAAAATAATGATCTCAAATACTTTTTTCAAACAAACGAGAGTACAGTAATATATTTTGATTTAATTACTGACAACACTAAAAATAAAACTTCTCGCTAGGTTAAATTCTGAAGGTAAATAATAATCACAAATTCCTGGTAAGTTTCAATTTGCAATTACTAAGGGATCCGAAGAGAGAAATGTCGTTACAATTAATTGCGAAACCTTTGAAGCTATATAAATAAACATTATTCGATAAATGCTCAAAGTTTAACACACATTTTAAAACTATACTCCAAAAATAAGAAATAAGAAGATTATATTACATTATACAATCATGTTAATTTTCACAGTGGGACGTCGTTTCGAGGAAACAAAACTGTCTATTTTTGTTATTTAACATGAAGCCAATGAAGTATTTCTGGAAAGTGTTTGAAAATTTTATAGAAGATTTAGTGCGCCCTAATTACAACTTTCAAATATATATTTATTAAAAAAGAGAGGTGGCTCATAACTTATCTCTCGGTCCCTCCCAACAAGACTTACGCATCATCACCGTAGCGCTGTGATCTGATATTGTTTACTATGCTATGGTAAACCTACTTCCTATTTACAGTATACTCGTAGTATGTTTATTTTACATGTTTGATATATTGCATGATTTCTTAATAGTTAATGATTCCTGAAATAACAGAGTAAAGGAGACATAAATCTCATTTTCAACAATTTAATAATCATTGCTGAATCAAGAGGGGAGACGAAGGGGAAGGTGACGTTGTACCTACATAAAAATCGAAAGTTACAGACCATAACATTCTCAAGGTCTAGGAGACGAACTGCATTCAACGAAGTTGTTGTCAAAACACAGTCAAGTTGCTTTCAGAACATAGTTAACGCTGTAACGATGTCTTTACCGTCTACGAGTGGTCCCTCAGTACTCGAACTTCGACTATAATTAATTGAAATTATACTTATTATCTCAAACTTTTGGGTATTATTATGGTTTTATTGTCAAACACTATTATGCTTATATAATCACAGATTTCGTCAAGGCTACCCTAAAGACAAACAATATTAATGTATTTTCAATTTGATCACAGACTTTAAACATTAACAAAAGTTTGACAATAAACAAAGAGTACACATAATTATGTGTTGTGTATATGATAGTGTGTGTAATGTTTTTTTTACTGATTTAATTTTTATTAACATTCTGCACTCCTCTATATTCTCTTATAAGTGTGGGAAATGTCGTAATTCTCTGTCTGCGCTATTTTCTTAAAAAGGGGTACAAAGTTTTTGCTTCACGTATTAATATATAGATAATGTTATAAAGTTGACGCAATGTTAGATAACTCGCATTTTTACTCTCTATTTTATTTAACTAAAAGAACCAGAAGGCTGTAAGATCACCATCACGAAAATTAGTGGATTTGAAGCGTTCAAAACGATTATATTCAATTCAGATGTAATTAAGTAAAGTAAATTAAATACTATTCACCAATCGCGAATCTACTATAAAATATTATATAAACGATACTTCTAAGAAACTAAATTGTTTTTTTTTCTGTTACATAAAATCGTATTTATTTTCAACTAATCATTTAAAAACACGATCCTTGCGTTAATATAAAAAATGTAACTAAGCTGCCTAAATCACTAGCTAACTAAAAACAAATAATTTACCATATCCTAGGTGTTTCTTTAAGAATATATAATTATCTAATTTGACATTATAAACATGCAAAATTTTTCTTTCGAGGAAAATAATGAAAATATGTAGTAAAATTAGAAAACTGATTGATACGTACGCCATCAAATCCTTGTTACAAGCCTTCATAGTTAATAATATGTAAATAAAAGTAATAAAAAACTGTGCGTTATTATTTATAACTCCGTGATCCGTGGTACCGCGACGAGATCACGCGAGTCGAATGAAAACTGCCGCCCTGCTCAGAGCTACGTGGCGGAATGATCACGCTCGCGTTCAAGTGACGAACAAATAAGGCTCTCAGCAGACCTGGTGATTTGTTGATACGCGAATATTGTTTTATTATATTTTATATTACTATATTGGTCAACTTATGCATTTCGGTTCTACACCATATAACGTTTGTAATAAGCATCTTCAGAGGACTTAAGGTGTATTACGTGTAGTCAAGATGAAAATAATGCTAGTATTCACGATCCTCATAGTGCCTTGGTGTTTCAAGGCTACTTAAACGGTTTATTTTTCTATTGTTCATAAGTTAATTAGATTGTTTTTTAAATTTAATTTATCATAAATACTTTAGTCACGGAAAATAAAATAAGTTTGGATAATTACAGGGCGTATGAAGCCCGCACGGTTACGTACCACCGTCCTGTCGGAAAACGTTCAGTCATGCCATTCGATTTGAATGGTAGATAGCCATTGCACAGTAAAATGGCGACTCCGATATCATGTTTTAAGGTTCTTGGTGTCATTCCCATTGGGTGATATCTATGGGGTCCAGTAACTACTACTTAATACTGGGTGGACTTTGAGCTCTTTCTCCCATCTATAGAAAAGTTATCTATGAGAGCGAAAATCACAGTGTATCCGTAATTTGTAAAACAATTTATAAGTCGTCAACATA